CGGGTTCAGGCAATCCACTCATCTCAGCCTCCCAAGGCGCGGGATTACAGGCTGAGCCACTGAGCCCGGCTTAATTTTTTGATTTATTGTAGGGATGAGGTCTCGCCAGGTTGCCCAGGGTGTTCTTGAACCCATGGGCTCACGCAATCCCCTCACTTCAACCTCCCAAAGTGCTGAGATTACAGGTTTGAGTCACTGTGCCCGTCCTATAGTCGTTATTTATATTCTAAAGTTTTTGTTTTACCCCTTGCAATCAATATAACAGTCTCTAACTTGTTGTCTTTGATTTTTGTTTGCATTCGTGGAGAGTGGTTGGATGAAACCCGTCTCTATTTTCCTGAAGTAATGTTCAGAATAGATGTTTGCTATTCTGATTTGAGTGTAGGCAGGAAGGAGAGTTACATTTATGAGGCAGACAGATAATAAAAATACAAGCCGGGCTCAGTGGCTCAACCTGTAATCCCATGCCTTTGGGAGGCTGAGGTGAGTGGATTGCCTGAGCCCGCGGGTTCGAGACCCACCTGAGCAACTTGGTGAGACCTCATCTCTGCAATAAATCAAAAAATCAGCGGGCGTGGTAGCGCACACCTGTAATTCCAGCTACTCGGAAGACTGAGGCAGAAGGATCGCCGGAGCCCATCAGGTCGAGGCTGCGGTGGCCGGGAGTGGCCACTGCACTCCAGTCTGGGCGACAGAGTGAGACTCCAACTCAAAAAAAATAAAATAAAATAAAAATAAAAATAAACTCACCGCAGTATGATGGGGCAATGAAGGAAATATAAATAATACTGCAATAGAAACTATCAATGGGCAAGTTTCCTATTTAAAATAAAATAATCACGGAAGGGCTTCCCGTGATATATTCAAGCTTAGGCATGAAGAATGAGAAGGAATCAGACATAAGGTGTAAGGTAAGGTAAGAAAACAACTGCAAAACTCCCGTGAACAGGAGTGTGGTAAGTTTCGAGAATGAACAGAGGACCCGCGTGCTAGGTCCATAGAATGGAATCAGGGGCAGGAGATGATGCAGATCTTGCAAGAACTTTGTGATAATGGCAAGGGAACTCTATTCAACTCCTAAGAAGAATCCATCCCAGTATTTTAAGCAGAGGAGTGAAGAGACCTGTTTTAATCATTCTGTGTGGAGGATGGGTTGAAGGGAAAGCTCAGAGACTAGCTGGGCACGCCCTCACTTCCCTCTGCCTTCTGAGTGTTTTTTCCTTCTCTATACAAAGAAAAAGTACTAGGCCTCCATTCCACATAATTGTAAAAGCCGGTATCCTTCCTGAATGTTCCTGAGAATACCCTCGAATGGGGTCTGGAATTCTCCAGTGGCCATAGCCCTGTCTCTCTCATTCCTCTGGGCACCACTGGGCAGGCCATGGTGTGCAACAGATCTTGACTTAGCACCTTAGTGGAGGAGAGGATTCTAGCACAGAAGAGGAAATAACCTGGACTACCCGTTACTAAGTACAGTACCTGGTGTGTTTGGGCCACCACTGCCTTGAGGACCCTTACCCATAACTGTATATTTTTCTTTGAAGATCTTTCTTTCCCTGGGGTCCAGAGCCCAACCCTCTTATCTCTGAGCTACCAGGGGAAAGACTGTAACTTCCTGCTTCTTTACTGGGCAGAATACTTTAGGTCCCCTTGTTGTAATCACTCCCCTATCTAGACAAATTCAGGTCTTTCCAGTAACGTGTTTCTCCCCAGATAAATTCTACCATTTCCTGAGAGCTCACAACTGCCTTGGTTTTAAGCTTATTTTTAAGTAGTTTTTTTATCTCTCCTTTACAGTATGAAACGCACAACTAAAGAATGAAATATCATAATTGATTTTATTAAAACCATTCTAGAACTTAAACCACCTGAGTATTGAGGTTTTTAATAATGAAAGACATTCCAATCAATGTCTATTTTAGACATCCTTTGAAACTGACTGTCAGAATTTCTACTATACTGCTTTGACTTTTCCCATAGTGAAGAGTAAGCACAATGGCAAATTTAATTTCTTTTTTTTTTTGAGCTGGAGTCTCACTCTGTCACCCAGACTGGAGTGCAGTGGCCTCTCCCGGCCACCACAGCCTTGACCTGCCGGGCTCCGGTGATCCTTCCACCTCAGCCTTCCAAGTAGCTGGAACTACAGGTGCGCACTACCACGCCCAGCTAATTTTTGATTTATTGTAGAGATGAGGTCTTGCCAAATTGCCCAGGTGGGTCTCAAACCCGCGGGCTCAGGCAATCCACTCACCACAGCCACCCAAAGGCGAGGGATTACAGGCTGAGCCACCGAACCCGGCTCACAAATTTAATTTCTGAAGCAACTTAATATGGAGTCACATGAAATTAGCACATATATTTTGGTTGGAAATGAAGAGTTGTTATAAAGTTGTGCCTTAAGGAGACAAGTTCTTAACATTGAAGGTTAAATGTATAGTATTGGGAAAAGGAGACCACAGATTTTAGATTATAAAAAATCATATCTCGATTTTCATTAAACTCCAGTAATACTTCTTTCTATTATGATTGAAGACAACATTCCACAGTCATATTAGCAATAACTGACTTTGGATTAGCAATATCTTTATAATTATCAGATATTTTCTTTTCTTTTTTTTTTTTTGAGTTGGAATCTCACTCTGTCGCCCAGACTGAAGTGCAGTGGCCACT